CGGCAAGTGTCCACCACAAGCCCGAGACGGCTTTCCTGGGTTTGCTTCCCCAGCCCTCATGGTGTAGCCATTACCCACCCCCCCACACACACACACACACACAGCACCCCTTTCATTCTGCCAGGTGGGGCTGCATCCCGTGGGAGGATATTCCCATGTTGCAGTCAACATCCTTAAACTGACACGCATGCGTGCATGAATGCACACGTGTGCACAAGAAGTGGAACAGTTGGGTCACGGGCTGCCACATTTTAAATGTAATAAGACTGACCAATCACTATCCAAGTAACTGCACCAACTTCAGTTCCGTACACAGATGAAGGTGTTCTTCCCCCCAAAGCTTGGCCAGAATTTGGTATTACAAAATGTTTTAATCCTTGCAACCCTGCCATTCAGGTTTTTTTTTTTTCCACTTCCATCAGCATAACTTTTAAAGTGCAATTACTCTTTTTAATATTTTCTTTTCTGTTTTTTTTTTTTTTTCCAGTTTTATCAGCATAACTTTTAAAGTGCAATTGCCAATATTTTCTTTTCTGTCTGCATGTAAACTACACGAAGGCAGAGATTCTTTTTTTTTTAATTATTGTTTTGTTCACTGATGAACAACTAGAACCTAGAAGAGGGCAAAGCACATAGTAGGTCCTCAATACACACTTGCTAACTGAATAAGTGAACAAATTAAACATGGATATGGTCCATACAAAATTTAAAAGCCACAAAAGGAGTAATGTTTAAAAAGTCTCCTTTTCTACTTGTTCTCCCTGCCACCCATTTTTCTTTTATGAAGGCAATGCATGTCAACCTTTTCTTGTATAACATTTTGGAGATAAACTATACAAATACAAGAAATATCTCTAAACTTCTGTATTCCTTCTCCTCCTGCCCCTACAAATACATGTAAGCTTTATATACTGTTCTGCTCTTCCTCTCACTTAACTATATACTTTGGCAACCATTATGGTTTGAATGTATCCCCTCCAATGAATATGATGAAATTTTGTTGTGACAGGATTAAAAGGGTGGAAATAATCTGATTGTGGAATTAAGAAGTGGAATCTTTAAGAGATGATCGAGATTGAGGTCATCAGGGTGGCGCCCCCTTGATTGAATCCTGGCGGGTTTAAAAGGAGAAGAAATGAGACTGACATAGACTTGGCCATGTGATGCCCTGTGTCACCTCAGGATTCCACCAGCAGGAAGAATCTCACCAGAGCCTTGACCTTGGACCTCCAAAACCATGAGCTAAATAAGCCTCTATTCTTTGGGAATTACCCAGACTCGGATATTTGTTATTAGCATCACAATGTACTAAACCAGAAATGTTTTCTCTCTCTCTCTTAATTTTGCTACAGGGAACATGTACTCACTGGAGAGAGAGAGAGAGAGAGAGAGCAAGAGAGTGAGAGAGAGAGAGAATGAGAAAGCACTCCCTAGGGGATGGACAACCATAATCCCTTTTTCTCCATTCTCCTCTAGGGATTTTGGGCTTGCATGCACACATGCCTGGTGTATTTTTTAAGCTGCTGGACCCAGGACTCAACCCAAACAGCTGGCCATGTGGAATCCTGCGGGCTAAACCACCATGCCATCAACTGGCTCTCTCCACCTCTTATCAGCTTATTAGATAAGACTAATGCATCTGCCCTCCTGGAGGATGGTGGAGAAGGCCACTTTTTCTGTCATTTCCATTAGTCATGCTGAGTTAAGCTTTATGGGAGAATTCCTAGGTGTCAGTGGGCCACATTCTTGAAAGAACAAGGCACACATGTGCCATGGAGGAGGATTGCTAAATCTCAGACTTCCCCAACCACCCACCCCAGGCACAAGAGGTCAGGTGCTGAGAGGTGGCCAGAAGCCAGCTGACCTGGTTTCTATTTCAGGACCTGTCTCTGACTCAGTATGACTGTGGGAAGTCTCTGGATGTAAGTCCCTTCTCTGCCCACACCAAAACACTTAAAAAAGCAACATAAAGAGGCATAAAGTAGTACCTTGGGAGAGATGGTATGGCCCTGGACCAGTGCATGCTTTAGCCACTGGAGAATTAGCAGAGAATCCTCCAGTATGGGAAGCGAGAGGATGTCTTTATGTGGTACGTAGAGGAACCCTTTTCTGAATAGTTAAGGAGGTATTCTAACGTGTATTAGGAAACAAATGTCTTAGCACAGCACATTCTATATTTCACAGGCATAATATTGCTTAGTATTTTAGTATCGCTGAGGATGGGGCTGATTTATTTTAGCAAACAATAAAATGGAAGAGTTGATGTGATGCTACCTATTAAGTAAATAAGGAAGTAAATGCTACGTGGGTTCATAATCCTAAAGATGGTATACCAATGATTGTGTCTGGCAAACACTGTATTAGCGGATATTTGGAGGAGGGGGATAATAAAATCAGGCTTATAAATTACATGAAAAACCCAGTTTAAAGGTGTTTTCTTTTTTATTTAATGCAAATATTGAGAATATAGTAAATCAGGGATAGCAAACTTTTTTTTTTTTTTTTGGTAAAGGACTGAATAGTTTGTTTTAAGCTTTGTAGACCACATTGTCTTTGTCACATATTCTTGTTTTACAACCTTTTGAAAACACAGAAAGCATTCTTAGCCCAAGGACCATACAAAAACAGGCCTTGGACTGAATGTTGAGCTGTAGTTTTCAGATGTTTGCAGTAAGTTCAAGGGTGTTTTGAGCATAGTAGCTGCTAGTCCCTGAAACCAGGTAGCGGGAGCCCATTTAGTAATAATATTTATGTATTAATTACATTAATGGTTTATTTACACCCTTTCTTTTGGTATCATTATACATGCATGGATTTTTTTTAAATGGTTTTAATAGATTTCATTTTTTTTTTTTTGGAGACAGGGTCTCACTTTGATATCAAGGCTTGCTTCAAACTCACGATCCTTCTGCCTCATCCTGGAATTACATGTGCCCAGCTAGGTTTTTTGTTGTTGTTGTTGTTATTTCTGTTTGTTTTGTTCTTTTTAAGATGTTTAAGTTTTTCCATCTTTTTTTTAAAGAATTATTTTATTTAACTTTATTTATTTATTTATTTTTATTTGACCAGAGAGGGACAAAGGGGGTGGGAGTGAGAAAGCAAGCCACCAGGTCCAGGACTTGAACTGTAGTCAACCATGTGGGAGTCCAACCACCATATCACCTGCTGGCCCCAGGTTCTCCATCTTTGCCAGTGAGAATTCATGGAGTCCTTTTGACAACCCCAGTAGTCTTTGATCTCTCCCTTTGCTTTCTGATATGATAAGATAGCCCAGGCTTTTCTTAGGTAGGAGAATGGATCGACCATTTTCCTAAGAAGCCCTGGTTCTTTTAGTTGGAATGGCGCTTAGAGACCAAAATCTGGGTGTTGATGATGCACATATCATTTGAATTTATAAATGCAAATTACGTCCAAGGTATGTCCTGGGCCCTGGAGAGATTCCAACAGCTCCACTAAAGCTCTCCTCCTCTAGCCTGTACGGTAAACCCTGCCTTTGGCTGACATCTGGCCATCTGCTCAAAAACAGTCATACTCTGTGGCTGTCTTAGCACTGGCAAAACATACACATTTTTTCAATAACCAGAGTTAAATCCATTTCAGGTTAACTTTCAATTAAGTATAAAAATCTAGTTACTCACAACTCATATTCCCTGATAACTTGGTATAATTGTCTGGCTACGAATGTAAGTACAGGGGCCAGCAAGTGATGTGGTGGTTAAGGCGCTGGACTCCCACATGGCCAACCACAGTTCCAGTCCCAGACCCAGTGACTTGAAAATTAGGCTAGGCATATGTATGTGCATGCCCAAAATCCCAAGAAGAGGATGGAGGTGGGGAACATCATTATCTCTATTTTATAGATGAGGAAACTGAGGCATCAAGAATGTGACTTGGGGAACCAGCAGTTAGCGTAATGGCTATGTCGCTGGACTCCCATGTAGTCAACCGTGGTTTGCGTCCTGGACCCGGTGGCTTAAAACTCACACCGGGCGCGTGTGTGTGCGTGCCCAGGATCCCGAAGGGAGAATGGAGGAGAAGGGATTGCGGCATGGTCATCCCCCCTTGGGGGGTGATTTCTTGCTTTCTGTCTCTCTGTCTCTCTCTGTCTGTCTGATGAGTGCACGCGCCCTATAGGGAAAACCTCTCCAAAAAAAAAGTGTAAAAAAAAAAAACGTGACTTGCTCAAAGTTGCGCAGCTAGAAAGGAGCTGAGGTTCCAAATCAAACACTATGGCTCCACAGTCCTCATCTCGTTAAAGTTTATTTATTACCTTCATGAGCAAGCGAGACAGAGAGTGAGAGAAAGCACCCCCACAGGGTCCTGGTGCTGCGGTCCATCCCCAGCCTCAGCCAGCCCCAGACCATGGGCATCCCCGTGCCCAGAATATTCAGGAGGTCTCTGGAGCTGTCCCACATCAGCCTCACCGCGCCCTGTGCTTCACCGCTGTGCCACCGCCTGGGACCCAGGGGCCTCCTTCCGAAGCACCACCCTGTAGTGCTAACGGGGTCTCAGGGCCCAGGTCGCAGTCCTGCCCACCGCGGCTCGTGGCTGTGCACTTTCCAAGGATTATTTGCTCAACGTTCCTCTGACCCGCTAGCAGCTGGTCGCAGTGGTAACCGGCACGGGGAGCCCCTGGCTGGCACTGTAGTTCTCACTTCGGGTGCTGTACCCGATTTCACCCTCCCGGCAATCCTGAGAATCTGAAGTGCTTACTGTCTCCACTTTTACTCACGGGGAACCTGAGGAATTGAGAGTCGAAGTAACTTCGACTTGTTCACTAGTTCGTAAATTCCCATAGGCGAGACACCGCCACTGTGTTCAGAGGGCTCACTTCAGTGCGCTTGGTAAATGTATTTTGGTTGGCTGGATGATGGATGGCAGGAATCAAGGAAGGATAAAGGAGGGGAGGGAGGGAGGGCTGGGATGTGCTCCCTGGCCTCTGGCCACCCACGTCCGAGACACCCTCACAGGGGAGGCTGGTGTCCTGGCTCTTCCCACAGGTGCCACAATGCACGTGAAGAAGTACCTGCTGAAGGGCCTGCACCGGCTGCAGAAGGGCCCCGGCTACACCTACAAGGAGCTGCTGGTGTGGTACTGTGACAACACCAACACCCACGGCCCCAAGCGCATCATCTGCGAGGGGCCCAAGAAGAAGGCCATGTGGTTCGTGCTGACCCTGCTCTTCACCGGCCTCGTCTGCTGGCAGTGGGGCCTCTTCATCCAGACCTACCTGAACTGGGAAGTCAGCGTCTCCCTGTCCTTAGGCTTCAAGACCATGGACTTCCCCGCCGTCACCATCTGCAACTCCAGCCCCTTCCAGTAGGTGGTCCCTAGAGCACAGGGCTGGCCTCAGCGGCTGGGCTCAGTAGCTGGTTCCTTGCAACTTTCCCTTCCTCTCTTCTCTTCCTTTGTCTTTCTTTCTCTCCTTATTCCTGTTCTTCTCTCCTTTTTTTTCCCTTCTTTCTCTTTTTCCTCCTTTCTTTCTTTCTCTCTTTGCTTTCATCCCTTAGGGGCAAGTAAGACTCAAAATTCATAACTTTCTTAAGATTAAAGGGAATCTCAAAAAATATCCAGTATTCCCTGTCTTCAGGCATGCCAGCACCTATTTATATTTTATATTTATGTATAAATATATTTATATATAATCCATATATTAATAGATGATATATTTACATATTCAGTACATATTTATGTATTGTTTATATATCAGTACATATTTATATATTCCCCATTTAGATGCTCAGCACTATTATATCTATGTATTCTGTGCATATTTATATACACATATTTGTATTTATTGGGCATCTAGTATATGCTAGGCACTGTTCTAAACACGGGAAATATAGCAGTGAACAAAGTCCCTGCCTCTCCACAGCTGACCAGGAAAACAGGCATTCACCTTTTCCCCACAGAGATTGACGTATTTATTGTTGTGACGATGACAAGTGCATAACGCCCATACAGCAGTGCTGATGATGCACCAAACATTGTGTCGAGGGTTCTATGAGTAATTGGCATAGTTCTAATCCACACGACCACCTAGGGTGGGCACTACCGCCCAGTGCCAGCTGGGGAAATGAAGTTCAGAGAGGTGAGTGAGCTCACCCAGAGATACAGTGGGGAGCTGTGGAATTGCAGGCCAGGCTTGAGCCGACTCTGGAGCTGCCACTTTTTAGCCTCTACCATGCTGCCCCTTCTCCACTTGCCGGCAAGGCCTCTGAAGGCAATACCCCGGGGGAACTGATGCAGTCAGGCTTGAGGAGAGGCAGGGGCCAGAGAAAAGTGCTCTCGGGAATGAGGATGGGAGATAGCACTCTAAGTGGTGGGTCAAGCATGCGCAAGGGCCCTGGGGTGAGATAGAGCGTGGTGCACTCAAGGAGTTGAAAGAGGAGCCAGCGTGGCTGGTTAGGAGAACATTCTTGTCCAAAAGAAGATCCTGGGAGGGAATTCGCATCTCATGGCTGCATGTGCAGTTAGCAGAAAGGGCCTTCTTTCCAGCAACAGGGCTGACCAGTTGGGCGGGGCCCTGGAGGCACTCCAGAGAGCCCTTAATAATGGTAATATGTGGCCCTGCTCATGTTCTTCATCAGGTCACTTCGCCGAATCCTCCCAGCAATTCCCTGAGGTGCATATTTTTATCCCCCTGTTTATAGAGGAGAGAGCACAGCCTTCTGGCGGCTATGTTGCCGGTGTTTACCTAGATGCTAATTTACGTGCCAACATTTGAACCCAGAGCCCACACAGTGACCCTGAAGCTCAACAGCAGTGGGGGTCTCTAGACTGTACTGACCCTGCCATCTGCACAGCCCGCCATCCTTGCCTCTCCTTCTCTTCCTGTGCGCACACAGTGGGGCTGGTTTATTGGTCAGGGGGCAGGGGGGACAGGTGCTGTTGTGTCTGAGGCCAGTGTTAGCTCTGACTACCATACCCCTTTGTACCAGGCCCTTGGTTCCTATTCAGGGTTTTACGCCTCCCCCTGCAGGAAGTCCCCCAGCCAGAGCTGGCACACATGGCCCTGATGGCCGTGCTCTGAGGCAGGGTCTCGAGGGAACGAGTATGAGATGACTGGGGTGCAGGGCCTGGGCCCCCCACATGGGGTGGTGAGTATCTGGTCACCATTTCCAACACGAGAGCCTCCCAGGAGCAGAGAAGTCCCTGGAGCCAACTTGCAGTCCCACTCCTTTCTCGAAACTGGCTCCTGTTCCTCATATCTCTGCCAGGGAATTAGGACCCTCGAGCTCACAGACCTGGTCCTCCCCCCTACGTGTTCTACCTCCTTCTGGAAGGTGGATGTCAGAACCCCCGTGCACCAGCTGCAACCCCAGTGGGGCCACCTCGGCTCTTATCTCCGCTCTCCCTTTACCAGTGGGGTGAACTTGGGAAATCACAGCAATTCCTGTAGCCTCCGTGTCCTCGTCTAGATGAGGAGATGATGATACGATTGTGGAAAAAGTGAGAAAAAAATACGACCCAGAAAACACCTAGCTCCTGGCCTATGGCCAGCAATCAATAACTAGGAGCTGTTAGGATTTTTCCTCACTAGCATGTGAATTTCATAAGCAGAGTGGCCGGGTCGGTCTTTCCTACTGTATCGCTTGTGCCTTGCATAGTGCCTGGCACTTAGCAGTGGCTCATTAAATATGTGGTGAACGAATGCATGAATGTGTGGTGGAAGGACCCAGGGATGCATGGGTGAGTGGATGGAGAGGTGGGCCGGGCCTGTGATCCTCAGACAGAACACGCTCCCTGTACACGGTGGCAGCCATGCTGGAATAAGAGAAGACTCTAGGTTCCAGTTGCTCTCCTTGCAGCTGCCTCCTCCCCCCTCACCAGCCCTCTCCCTATCCAGGTATTCCAAAGTTAGGCCTTTGCTGAAGGACCTGGACGAGCTGATGGAAGCAGTCCTGGAGAGGATCGTGGCTTCTGAGACCAGCCATTCCCAACA